AAGAAAATAAACAGATTCATCCTTGAGAGGGTTAAACCGGGCTGCTTCTTGAAGGCAAGGATTCTGAGGCTTTGTCTAACATACTTTGGACATGTTGTAATGAGGGACTGGTCCTTGGAGAGGGACATCATGCTTGGGAGGGTGGAGGGACAGCGCAGGAAAGAAGGGCCCTCTATGAGGTAGATTGATTCAGTGACTGGGTTAATCAGGATGGTGTGTTGGAGACAGTGCAATTGGCACAGCACAGAGCAGAGTTTAGTGCTGTACATAGGGTCGCTGTGAGTCACAAGTGACTTGATGGCACATAAAAATAACAACATACGTTGTTTCATTTGATGTTATCCCACCTGATTCTAATGCTTTCTTCATTTTCCTTCTCTTTACTGTTTTTTTTTTCCTTCTTTCATGTTTTCATTGAGGGTTTTGTCTTCTAACTCACCAATTTTTTGTTCCATCTCTGCTATTCTGCTTTTTTGTGCTTCCTTCATTTTGAGAATTTCTGTCATTTCGGCTTTGATATTCTGGATTGTATTTCTGTGCTTTTCTTGTTTTTCACAGTATGTTGATTGTATCTTCTCTGTCTTTTCCTTTTCTTGTTTTTCTTAATTTTCTTATTGTTCTTTACTTATGCATTCACTTCTTTCTTCCAACATTTGTAACTCTTCAGTATCACTTCTTGGAATTCCAAGAACCCAGCATATTCTGCTTTCCTGCCTGTTAAGGTATTCATTGGGTCCTTGCTTTTTTAGGAGAAGGCTTGTCTGTTCATAGTATTTGGCCCTGCATGATGCTTCCCTGACATTATGTGAAGTTGGATGAGATCAGTGTTTCCCTGCTGAGCTGTCAAAGCCCTAAGAGGAGCTGGGACATTCACAAAAATGTTGCCCAGGACTCTTCTCTTCCCAAGATTGAGTGGTTGCTGCTTGCAGGTGGTCTCAATGGTGGTCTCTGCTAGCTGTTTGTCTTCTCCCAGGCAGTCTTTGCAGAGAGCTTAGAACTTCCTGGGATAACGCAGTTCCCTCCACCCCAGGGTTGACACCCAGGACCATTAGCTACCTGAGTCTGATTGGTCAGTCGTGATTTACCTGTCACCATTCACCTCTCCCCTCCATCTTCCTTCTCAAACTAATCAGTTGTCCTCAGGGTTTAGGCTTTGCAGCCTCTCAGTGTCCATTCTTTCTGCAGGAATCCAGGCTAGCAAAGAATGAAGCTGCTCGGATGGCAGCTCTGGTGGAAGCAGAGAAAGAGTGTAACCTGGAACTCTCAGAGAAACTGAAAGATGTCACCAAGGACAGGGAAGATGTGCCTGGAGACCAGCTCAAGCATGACCAGTGCACAGAGGCTCTGGCTGAGAGAGACAAGTAAGTACCATGGGTGTTCTATTCATCACTTGCCTTTGCCTGTTCTTGAGCCTGTGAGACCATATGATGTTGTTGTTATGTGCCATCGAGTCGTTTCCGACTCATAGCGACCCTATGCACAACAGCTCTAAACCCTGCTCTATCCTGCGCCAACCGC